TTTCTTTCTTACTTTAGCTTTTTTAAAAGTTTCATTAAAAAATTCTGGTGGTAAATGTGTCTTAAAAAATCTTGATTTATTTGTTTGATTTAATGATAATTTTTGAAGATTAACAGTTGGCCATTCAAGAAATGAATATCTTTCGCTAATATCGATTTTTTTTGCTGATTCATAATCAAAATTAGTTTGAATTAAATAAACAATTTCTTGTATTAAAGTTGTTCCTGATTTCGGAAATGATGCACAAATACAATCTGATTGATTAAATTGAAAATTTTTTAATTGTTTTAATTTTCCAACAATTTGTTCAGGTAATAAATAATTTCCAATCATAGCACCTTTATGTTTAAAATATTTTAAATCCATCCAAATTGGTTTTAATTCCTCATCGATTTCTTTTCCAATTTGATATTCTTTTTGACGACGTCTATACCAAACAGTTATACCTATCAGACCCATTATACCCATTGTTATATTAACAATACGAAATGCACTTCTCATTCGTAATATTGGTTTCAATTTTAGTTGTTGTTCAATTGTTAATTTTGCAAAATCAATTCCACGTTTTTGTGCAGCTTCTTTTGCTTTACGAGCATATTGAAAATGATTAAATAGACTTTTAAAAAGATTTTGTTTTGATGATGAAAGAGAAAATCGACGATAAATTAAAAAATTTGGAGAATATCGAATAGAACATAAAATAAAATGCATTATTATCTAAAAAATTATTTTTTATTTTTTTCATTCATATCATTTAATTAACGAAACAAACACACTTTTATTTTTTAAGTATTGAGAGCATTATCACTATTTATTTGTTCTAAATGATAAACAGTAAAACGATGATTTGTCTTTTTTAAAGTATGTAATTTATATCTAGAACCAAGTGCTCCAATATGTGAATTTTTATTTAAATAATAAACAGTTGATATTCTCGAATGAAGTAATGCCATAGCACACATAATACAAGGTTCATGTGTTAAATAAATTGAACAACCATTTAATAAATAAGCTTTTTTATCTTTTTTTTCAATAAATTTTTTAAGTAGATTTTCTCTTGAATAGATAGGATTAGCAGCAAGTAAATCAATAGCAACCATTGTTGAATGTTGTAATGGATGTTCATGACGATAATCACGAGAACCAACAAGAGGAATTTGTTTTTCATTATCAACAATAATTGCATAATGAGATTCTTTATCATTTTCTTGAATTTTCTAAAAAAGAAAATTTGTTCATTTTATTTTTTAATAAAAATTTGTAAACCTGAAGTAAATCAAGAATAATTTCATCTTGTTCTGTAAGATCTTTATTTAATTGTGATTGTTCAAGAATTTTATTTTCTCTAAATGCTAAATTAGGCCAATGTTGATTAATACATATATCATGTTGCCATCTTAATAAACAAGGATTTTCTGGAATATTTATTATTCGTGTTTCATTTTCAAAGTATTTTTCAAATTGATCTTTTTCCATAGTTGTTAAAAATGATGATGGATAAAGAAGAATATCTAAATGATTATCATTTCGATACAATCGTTTAACATGTTTTAAAGAATTTGGCCATGGATATATATTATTTATTGATTGAAGAATATCTGATGTTAAACGATGATCTTTAATACGAGCAACAATCATCGATTGTAAATTTGGTAAACGAATATAATCATCATCGACGATCGGATGCCATTGGTGTTTTATTAATAATGATGATGATGAACTACATAAACGTTTTGCTGGAGAAATCATCTGAAAGAAAAAACAAAAAAATTAAAATTATGATGAAAAAAATGGTGATCCACCACGTCTTAATTGACGATCATAATCTTCTGCTGAAAATGTTCCTTGAATTTTTTCAAAATTAGGATTAAATACAGAATAAGCACTTAATTGATTACGTCGACGACGAGAACCCAAATTTGACCACATTAAATAAAGAAGAGAAATAATAAAATAAATAACACCAAATTCAAGACGAATAAATATTAGAAGTAATATTAACCATATGAAAAATTTTAGTAAAATTATTTTCCAACTACTTATAGACTGTTCTTCTGCTTCTTCTTCTTTTTCTTCTTTTTCTTCTTTTTCTTCTTGTGGTTTTCTTTCCGAAGATTTTCTTGATAAAAATGAAAAAACTGATGCAAGACGAGAATTAATTTCATGCCAATTGATTAAAGGTTTTTTTTGAGCATGTGTTTTACGGAATTCAGCTAATTTTGTTTCCATTTTTTGAATTATAGATTCATAGGTGATCAGCAGTTTCAAGGAATGCTGGAAGTTTTATAAAATGATCTTGTGATTTGATCATTATCAACCGATAGAAATACTTTCGATTAACGTCCAATAGAATTTGATTTCTAAATTTTAATTTTTAGAGAAATATTTTCTCATAAAGACCTGAAAAATATTAAATATAAAGAAAAATAGAAAATGACTCTAACTTTAAAAAGAGATGTCGCTATTATCATAGTCAGATATACGTATTTTAGTTATTCAGAGCTCTATAAAGTTTGTTGCGATAAGACAACCATCAATGAAAATGGTCAGACTGTAAAATAAATTTGCATAGCATTGAACAAGTATGACAAATTCTTCGAATATTGGAAGAAATCATCATTATCTTCACTCATCACCACTCGGAGTACTATAAAAAATACTTAATTAGCATAACTAATCCAAGTCAAACATTATTACCAGATAAACTTATATAAATGAATTTAAACTAATGTTCTTATGACACATATTGATAGTAGAATTTAAATAGTTTAGAGCTTCTCAATAATATCTCCGACATATCGTTGGAATACGAGTGCAGTACGGATTTTTCGCTTTTTTCTCCCTCTTTGAATCTCGTCAGATGGTTTACTCTTTCAAAATTTTTTTTGGGTATTTTTCGATAGAAGAAGCTCAAAAATGCACCGATATTATCTTTAATGGACTTCTCTCTCTTTTTCGTCGAAACACGTCTTCCTTACTAGCATCCTAAATTCATCATTGAATTCTAGTTGTCGGAAACATTTTTTAAATCGTTAGTGTTGAAGCTCGACTGCAGAGGATCCTATCAAGTATGATGTCTATCAAACTCGTCTCAAATTGTTCGATGCAAACATAATAAAACGATATGATCGTTCGATCAATAATTAATCAATAACTTTAGATTTAGACTCATATAATTCAATAGATTAATAACCTTAAATTTCGATGGACATTCTTGCATATTAAAATCAGACGTACTATATTAATTTAGCAGGAAATCTTTCAATAAGACTTTCTGAGAATTAATGATAGATTAAAACATTCTGAGTGAATTAACCATCTTGTCATCAATTACGATAAACAAATATGTTTTAATTGTTAATTTAAAGGAATTAATAGAACATGAAACTTCAAAATAATTGAGGAAGCTTTTTTCAGTTCGATTTCATCGATCTTTAATGGGTTTTTATGCTTGGAACAGTCGTTTGAATATGTCTCATCTATTTATATTATTCAATAGTTTTTGCCTAAAGATTATCTCCTATATGTTCTTCATATTTATGATGAAGTCTGAAAATCTAATATTGACATGGTAAATTTACGTGTATTTCATAAAAAAGATTTGGTACAATTAAAAAAGCGCTTCTGTAATAATAATAAAGAAAAACTTGATTAAAGATTATTTTTTATTTTATAAAATGATTTCTTTTACCGATAATCATTTTAAAAGACTTAGTATGATCAGTAGTGTACCATCATCATCCAAAGATAGTGTTGATTCTCAACTATCAATTAAATTATCTCGATCAAAATCAAAGTTAGATTCAATCGGTTACCATATAGAAAAAAATTATAGAGAAACATCATTAAATGAACAATCTAAAGAAAAAACATATTGTTCTGGACAATTATTATTTTCTGGTCCCTTAATTTTATGTATAATTCTTTTAATAAGTGGCATTCTTCTTTTTATTATTGTTGGGCAAAAAAGTAACAAATATAGAAAAAAAGAAAAAACAAGAATTGAATATAGAAATTCATTTAATTCTACTGACAATGGTTTGTATTATTTCAATAAGAATATTTTTCAAGCATTGAATAATATATTTCAGATAGTTATATACCAATCTTATGTCCATTTAGTAAACCAGAAAAGAGTATTCAAACAGAATTCGCTTTGAGTGAACTAAATTGTGCTCGTCATCGCTCGTCTCTTATTCATATGTATTATTTAAATAATTCTTATCCTATAAATCCAGGTGAAAAATTAATTATAAACAATGTAATCAAGCCACCGACTGTTCAACTTAACTTTGAGTTTTTATCAAAACTAAATTCAAATTCATTTGTTCTTATATTAATCGATCCAATTCACATCTCAACAGATTTTGATAGTGTTGTTCTTCATTGGATTCGATATTTTTCTTCATCGTTAGATGATGAACATGATATTTGTCATTATAAATTTATACAAGCTACATCTAATTTTCATCAGCAAAAAATTGTTTTACTCTATGCAACAAATTCGAGTAAGATGATGATAAGAGCGAAAACAATATGTAACAGAATGACAGATTGGTTTCAATTAACTGATTATGTCATGTTTATCAAACTCAAACTTATAGGTGCAACACATTTTTTACTTCGTTTATCTGGCCAAACGTACGAAAATGGCGCTTAGTAATTTAAATATATTCAATTATTCTGACATATTCAATTTATTGTTTAAATAAGAAGAAACAAACGTTATTTCTTTGCAATTGTTGGATTAAATTAAAGGTTTTAATGATATTGATTAAATCATTGTCTTTTTCTTGAGCCTGTTAAAACTTTTTCATTTGTTTTAATGAACGTTCATTTCGGTTAGTTTTATAATAAATTTAATCGTATAAATTTTATTTAGACATCAATCAGATCATCTTTGTTTCAACTTCGTTTCAGTTGTATTCAAATTTATATGTATTAAATTATTCTGTGAAGTCTCGACTATGTAAAAAATTTCTTTTTCCTTTTTCAATATTGAACAAACTTCCGTATGTTGAGAATATTGAAAAATGATATCAATTTTATGAGAAGAAAAATGTTATCTATGGTAAAAAGATATTTCTTTTGATAATATCATCTGATCAAAATAACAAGAATCTTGCACTGTAATAGTTTTAACAATTTCAGTTTTTTAGGAGACTTCAAATAGAAAAGTAAAAAAAAGAATCCATTGAACAAACAATGTCATATGATTAATCGTCTTTTTGTAACTCTAACCGATTCTTCAGTTTAAAATTGTTTTTTCTATGAATCCAATATCGTCATAACAGCTATTTACACGTCTACATTCAATAATCATCATTAATGATTTTGTATACTTTGGCATTCGAATCCATCGTGTTTTTGTATTCCAATGTTCATGTCATTAGCTGAAATAAGATATAATAATCATTTATCATATGAAAAAACTCTTTTAAGAAATAATTCAAGTTAGAAGTCACACAATATTTTAGTAGAATAATAATTGCTTGAATGAAGACATTTTTTGGCGTATTCAGTAATTAAAAATGCGAAACACACATCGCATGATATAACTCGCAGTAAGTAAAATATTCTCATTGTTGGTATATCTTTCTTGTTTTCTAAATTTCTTGAAAGAAACATACTTATGTTTAATTGTTGATTATTAATATTATAATTTAAATAGAAAGAAAAACTAAACGAATATTAATTCTTTTATATTAACATTCACAAGACAGAATAGTTGCAACACAAATTTTTTCGATAAGATAAGAATATTTTCTTAAGTTTTGAATTTATTGAAATATGAAAGTCGGACTGACTGATAAAAATACACAATTATTTTATTTGTTCTTTCCGAAAGATTTAATAAGAACATTTCCATCTGATGTAACTTTCCAATAATTATTAAAAGATGAATTACAAATAACATCATCATTCATAATTGAATTAAAAACTTTTCTGTTGCTGCCATGTGGTAATAGACTTCCGCGAATTGAAATAGTCGAATTTAATTGTTTTTTTCAATAAGGCACTCGAAAAGAATCATATTCTCATAAGAGAGATTAACTTCATTCAAAATAGATTCATTTAATGTCATTCTGTCAAACAAATATAGCTTCATTTAACAAATATTTTTCCATATTTAACTGTGCCAGAAAAAATCTGCATACTTCAAATTAATTTTTGAAAAACTTATTTAATGAAGATTAGTAAATTCCGATGAAACATAAATGTTACTTGCTCATCAATCAATGAATGAGCCACCAAATAAACGAGGACGAATAAAATAGGCTTGGTCAATAGGTGCATTAATACATACAAAATTATTGAATAAAAAAAATTGTTAAAAGAAGTATGTTGACAATTACAGTAATCAAAATGAGAAGAATTGAAATAAGTTTAATCAATGATAGCATAAAGAAGAAAACTTACAGAAAATATTGGAAATTCCATTTCAGAATATTCAAAACGAACACTTTCTGAAATACTTATAGCAAAATAAATAAGACTAGGGGAAAATGTTACACAATTAAAAGTAGCCTTCGATTATTGAATATTAGAAAAAAGATCTGCATCTAAAAGAAGTATTTGACAAATAAGTATTTCATAGATTTCTCCTATTGAACTGAGCTCGAGCTAATCCAGACAAAGCAAAATTTTCTCCTGATAGTTCCTTAATAAAGAATAGTGAGTCATTTAAATGAGCACTAACTTCCATGAAGCCAACGAAGTGGTAAACTAATATGAGTTAATTCAGTTGAATTTAATGCCGCACCCGAACGATCAATAAAATACTTCCCATTTATCAATTTTCTTGTTTGATATAAAAACTGAATTATAATTATAAACCTTACGTTCAGAATCAATTCGTCTAAAACGTGCCAAATTATTGGAACGAACAAGTATACTTGTCTCAAAATGTTTTTTTTAATACTTAGCAGAGGTGGATTAATTGGATGTACAGTATTTTGGGACTTAGCATTCTTGTACTATCACATGAGCTTCATAGTATGTTTTGACGATATTCAAAATTTGATATTCGTCTTTGGTATTTTCAGTTGCTTATATAGAAACTTTTACTTGTATATCATTAGCAAACAGTACCGTTATATGCAAAAAACTAGATCTTTCTATGCCATCCTTTTTAGACTGTTATGAGATTAATAATAGTCGATTGAGCTTGTCAGACTTTGGTAGCTGTATATAAATACAACGCAATCTTAAGTCAAGGTACGATATAAACATTAATCACTTTGCTATTGTTTTCTTTACTTTTTTTCTTATTTGGTATTCTATTGTCTTATTTTTTGATGCTCAAAATTACTATCACCCTAGTACTTTATTAGTAGCGAAACCATGCATGGGCCAAAGTCGGCTCAACGTACCATGAGTTATATCAAGTCCACTCTGAGAGATTTTGAAAGCTAAAGTAATTCATTGTATGATCTAGGGTGAGCTAAAACAATCCCGAGCTGAAATATTCCCTTCGCCCAACACTCAATGGATTTGTTTGCTTTATGAAGATACTGACACTGACTGGCGTAAAAACAAAAGTAGCACTTGAGTTTTCTAAAGATTCATTTATCAAAGCGACACAAATATGGAAGTCATTCGGTTTCGGATCTTCCAGAATGGTCTTGAATTTCGTTGTATAGAACCATGATTGCATAGAAACATGCCGGTTACCGATGAACAGATCTGATTTAATTGTATTTTTTGTTTCAAATCAATCTTTTCGTTAATGTTTTTCTTGCATAAACTTCTTGATTAATCTGAAATAACTAACACCTGAGTGAAAAAGCAAGTTATCTAAGGTGAAGAAGTTTGCTCACATATGATCACCGAGTGATAAAATTCTTGAGCGTAAGAAAAGAAGATAAAGGAATCAACAATACTAGTATACATCTTGGCGTACAGCAATGAAAGAAAATAAAAAAGAAGTTCGACATTTGTTTTTCCGATGATTAAGATCATGATGTACGAGTAGACAATGGAAGTCTAGATTTTTCCCCATGTAACTATCGATCCGCATTTGTGACGAATATTTGAAACTATGGAATTCATTTTTTCCTTTCGAAGGCTAGTACAAAGACAGTTTTACTCGAGTATTGAAATTAAGTAGTACTGTTTCTTAGCGATGGTCATCGAATCTCAACTCTTCCGGCATGTTAGTAGTGAATAAGTTTGAAATTAATATCCTTTTAAACTTTCTTACACCAAGCTCAGAGAGGTAATTCCACTAAGAGAAATCAGTGTGATTTTACCACACGCTACACATACAGCAATATATGGCTACGACCAGATAATGATGTCAAGCCTCACAATGAAATTTGCCACTCGCCTCAAAGAATCGATTTACTTACTGCGTTTGAAGTGAATATTTGTTCTCATTAGTATCATCCTTCACATTGCCTATTACAATATAAAATTTATAGTCATGTAGATGACCAAGGTATTCGCTGCGGTAGTTATGTACATCGTACACCTGCTCGTGGCAATTAATAGTTCTCTCGTATTTGTCTACAAGAAACTCTCGATATATATTCGATATTTTGGTGCAGAATTTCATAATAACATACTGCAACACATCGAATTTTTAACATCTAATTCCATATTTTCCCATCATGTCTGATATCAGTAGATGTATTGCACATGCAATAGTGTGATTCTGTGTTTGATGTTGCCAACAGACCATTCTACTAGTAGTTCAATTCTGCTACCTATACATAACCGCGCTGATTCCTATATGGATCAAGGACTTTTCTATCGCATTCCACAATCCTCTCAACTTATTATGTCGTAGGTTTTGATCAACATCTCTATTGATATACTGTCGACAATTGCTGAACGTTGAAATCATTGACATGATTGTATTGAGCCTTAAATGCAATAAAATTAAAGGGAAAACAGTCCAAGAGTTACAGTAGATTTGACACTGTTTGATCTATAATCAGATGCTCGAGCAATCACTTCCCTATGTGCCACTTTTGATAATACCTCAGGGTTACTCTTTATCGTGACTAATATTCATTTAACTA